CTGGCTCCAGGTCCTGGGTCCCCACCTCCTGGCACCCTCCCTCCCTCCCTGCCCTGGAGCCTTCAGCAGTGCACCCTCGGCCCAGCACAGGGTGAGGCCACACCGGCTGAAGCCTCCTCCACCGGAACCAGGCAGAAAGGCAGCCCTGTCGAAGCAGCTGACTGGGGCTTGGGGGACCGGGCTCTCATCCTGTGGGCGGACACACTGACACCCCAGGGACTCCCAAAGTGGCCCCTCTGCTCTCTGGCACGCTTCTCTGTCCCTTTCCTTCTCCCTCCGCCTTCCCTGTTGCCTCGCTGTGTCTGATCCACTGCCATGCCCACCTGGGCCAGCCCACTCTCCTCACCGTGGGGGTGCAGTTTGGCTCCCGTCCTGGCAGCTTTCCTGACCTGGAATGAAGTTACAGCTGACTTAGTGTCATCCGACTCTGCCACCGGCATCGGTCCCGTATCCGTCTCAGCGGACCGGTTTTTCTCCTCGCTGTGGTCCCTGCTCTGCTGCCTGCCTGTCACCTTGGATGGACACCACACATGGTGAACGCCGCCTGGGTGGGGACAGGGTGTTTTCGTTTCCTGTGGCCGTTCTTGAGCCTTGTTCGGAGGCACAGTTGATAGCTCGGGACAGTGTGACAATTCCAGACCTTCGTTTGGGACTTGTGGCAGGACGAGAGCGTCACTGAGGCAAGGCTGACTCGGCTGTCACTGAGGGGGACCCGCCTGCCTCTCCCTCCTGCGTGACAGTGGGGAATGGCAGCGTGGCTGGTGGGGACAGGCATGCGCCCCGCTGTGCGGCCCCGGGGGTGTCTCTTTCACCAGAGTGCTGGCCAGTACTCAGCCGAGGACTCGGGGACCCTCTGCTCAGTCCTCTCTCTCTGCCTGGCTCCCCCTGGGGCACTCTGTCCTGTGCCCTCTGGCCACCTCAGTTTCCCCAAACTCTCGGCTCTGTCTCCCCAACCCAGAGGGTCTGCCAGCTCTGCCCAGCCACACACCCCGCTCTGCCCGGGAGTCTCTCATGGGGCCAGCGGGGCACCTCAGGGCCCTGTGCTCCCTTGAGCCCAGGACTGGGGACCACTGCTCCGTGGGCTGTTTCTCGTGTTTCTGGCTGTTCTGGACGAGCTGGTAAGCCTGTCCCTGTGCCTCTTTCGTGGCCAGAAGCCTGCCGAGCACTGAGGTGGGAACACAGACACCGTGTCCCGACCTCAGTGAGGACACCGTGGCTCGGAGTAGGGACAGGGTGTGCCCACCGTCACATGGGATGAAGAGACTGGGGTGTGGGTCCCAGGTCTCTGACTGCAGCCACAGGGCTCTCTGGACAGTTTTGTTGCCCTGTGAGCTCCTCAGAAAACCGCTTCGAGGTGGCAGGGCTTGTCTGCGGCCACCGGGGGAGGCCCAGCGCCCGAGTGTCAGAGCACCGAGTGGGCGCGGGGGCACCGGGTCCTCAGAACAGCCCTGGCTCTGTGTGCAGGGCCCTCTGCCTGTGGAGGGGCTGGAGGGGCAGCCTCTGGGCCCAGCGGGCTGGGCCCAAGTGTGGCCCCCTCGTCTGCCCCCCTTGACCCTCCTCTGCCCAGGACTCCTGGTGGCCTCTGTGTCCTGACATGGGCCCTCTGCTCTGCCAGACCTGGGCCGCTGGGCGAGCCGCCGGCACCGGTGCCACATGGGATGGGCAAGGCTCCCCAGAAACGGCCGCCCCACGTGTGCAGCCCGCCCCTGGTGAGGCCGCGCAGCAGCTGCGCGGGGATCTGGAGCACTGGGAGCACGAGGCGCTGCATGAATAGCACGATAATAACAGCTCGGGCTCAGGATCGGTCTGCAACCGTCGGGGTGCCTGGCCTCGCCCCGACCAGCCACTCCGGGAAAAGGTCACCCCAGCTGGGGATGGTGAATTCCGACAACGCCGGCGTAATTAGAACACGCCGCATTTGGACGTCGTTCTCAGCACAATTAGCAGGAATAACTGGGTGAGCAGTTTCCCCGCACTGGACACGCCTTTGCTGCGTTCTCCGCATTCTGTCCAAATCGTCCTGACCCACTTGCCACGGTCCCTCTGCTTGTTCATCATGTGGCAGCGTCTGCCTCCCCTGGGTCCACCTGTGCCCGCTGCCCTGAGGGACACAGTCCTGGACGGTGCGTGAGGTGCCCTGTGGGGCGTGGTGTCAGGAAGGGCTTTGGGGGAGCCGCCCAGGTCTCGCCTCTGGGGTGACGAGGTGTCACTGACAGGGAGGGACACCAAGCTCTCACAGTGGCCAGGATGAGCTGGCAGACTCAGCTGGCCTGTGTGGTGCGGGGGCAGGGTCCTCAGGCTCCAGGAGCCACCGGAACTGAGCGGAGGGAGAGGACCGCCCAAAGGAGGCTGCGGTGGCCCAGGACTGACCCCAGGCACGCGTGGCACCTCCAGCTGCCCCACCAGTTGGGGGGGTAGGAGGACAGGGGGCATCCACAGAGGCGGTCTCCCACGGGGGCTGGGGGCGTTCTGGGAGGAAGGCTGACAGGTGGCGTGGGGCATCCCCCCACAGCCGGGAGTCACATGTTCTGGCCGACGGGTCCCAGGCATCTGCTGCAGCGGGAGCTGGGACGGTGTGGCGTGCCCCGCACCCCTGACCCCGTTCTCGGAGCTGCTCCGCTCTGGCAGGTGTGGGCAGCCGGCGGTCACAGTGGGCAGCCAGGGGCAAGGAAACTCAGTGAGACCCGGCCCTGCCCTGGGCCGGGACCTGCACTACCGCCCTTTTGTGTGGCCTCGTGCGAGTGTGAGGGTGCGAGAGCGTGCGTGAACGCACACAACCGCAGCACAGCCTGGCAGGCTCACTGCAGCGTGGCTGTTGGAGGCGTGGCCCCGGCAGGAGTCGGCCTGTGGACACGGAAGGCCCGGGAGCATCAGCCCCGGCGCAGGGGTCCGCCCAGCACCTGGGTGCGGGCCCATCCCCGGGGCCCGGCTGGGCTGGGAGTAGGAGGCCCCAGGCTGAGGCCTGGGCGGCCACCAGCCCCTGGAGCAGGACTGCGGACACTGCCAGCCGCTGGGCCCCGCACGGTGGCTGTTGCCCCCAGATCTGAACATGGCACACTCGTGCTTCTGTGAAGGTGGCCGCTGGCCCGCCCTCCAGCCCTGGGGATCAAGGCCACCAAGAGCACGCAGGTAGCTGGGGAGTCCGGTTCTAGCCTCCTCCCCGTGGCCCCAGGGAACCGAGGCTCTGCCAGGCAGGTCCTCCTGGGGCCCCCACATGACAGACAGCAGTCCGAGGGTCACGGCAATAAAAAGAGTGTCGCACCCCTTGTGCCAGGGGTCAGGCCAGCGGTGAACGAGACCTGGTCCTTAGTGCAGGGCGGGAGGGAAGGGCAGGGCGGTGAACAAATGCCAGACCTCCCAGCACGGAGAGCGTCTGCCTCCGCCCTGCGGGTCGTACTTCTCTGTCCAGTCCTGGGTCCTGAGTCTCTCCTCCGTGTGTGTGAGTTTTGTGCACTTACGTCCATGGCACATTTGAGTTAAACTCTGTGTGAAGCATGATGTGTGAGTCAAAGAATATTCTCGGAAACTAGGCCTATCCAGCAGCCCCAAGCCGACTGCGGGGAAGGACGGTCCCCGCTGACCTGCCACCAGACTGGGGTCGCAAAGCAGTCAGGCGTATTGTGCCGGGCTCTCGGGCCGCCCGTCCGTCGGCCTGTGTGTCTGTCCATTGCTGCGCGTGTGCTGTCCCTGTTGGCCCAGAGCGTGCAGCAGGGACGCACGCGTGTCTGCGTGGTGGGTGGGGTCACGTGGCCGTCCTCCTGCAGCCCGCGGCCCGGCGGTCCCAGCAACGCCTTCTCCACGTGGCGACAGCCCCGCTCGGATCGGGGTTCGGATCAGGGTTCCAGGTCACGCCTTGCGGTGGGTTTAACCTCCCCACCCTCCGCAGTCTCTCGTCCACGCCCTTGGCGGTGGGCACTCTGTGCCTGCAGGAACCTGTCACACTGGGCGCCTACAAATCCCAATGGCCCCACGACGAGGGACCACCTGAGAGAGGGGGGCTTGTCTCTGCCCTTTTGGGGCCCCAAAGAAGGGGCATGACCCAGGGCCATCCTTCCCATCAGGATCCCCCACGGCAGCGAGGGGAAGGACTCCCCGAGGAGCCAGCATCTTGAGAGCCCTGCACAGGGCTCATTCACGCACGTCACTGAGAGGGACCCAAGGCCTCTGCCCTGCCATCGGGGCACTCCCTGCCCACAATGTCCCCAGCGTCTCTGTGAGTGGCCCTTCTCATTCACAGCAGCTCCTGGGACGTGTGCCGTGGGATGGCTGGCGTACCCTGCCATCAGGAGCAGGGGGCCCAAGGTGGGCCCAGGCAGGGTCTGCGTGCTGCCAGCCAGCGACAAGTTTGGTGTCCCCATTAGGGCTGTGCATCTCGGTCCCCACAGGCACCTGCAGGCCACCCACAGTTTGTCACTTGCAGACACTGGGGCCGGGGAAGCAGAGATACGTCCAGCCCATCCAGACTCAGCCACAGCCAGCACGTCTTACCGGGCAATTTGCTTTTTAAAAAATTGCACTCTGGTTCTAAGTGAACAGCCCTAATTAGAGTGATTTACAAGGGACCAGGGACCGGGTGGTATTTTGAGTGTGGCAGCGTGCCAAGCAGAGATGGATGGCCAGCCTCTCACAGTGGCACGGCTGGTGATGTGGTGGCCCGGCCCCATGGGGACAGGACCCTCAGAGAGGGTGGGAGCACTGGTCACCCTGTCCACACCACAGCACCCGCCCCCACCCCGCTGAGGAGCTCCAGTCCCCCTGCCATGTGAGGGAAAACCCAGATCCAGAGCAGGAGGCAGAAGTGAAAGGGTTTCCTGGGAAGAGGTCGGCGTGGCTCCTGCACTGTTGTTCGAAGTGGTCCGTGCTGAGCTGTGGCGAGGCCCCAGATACGGACAGGCTGAGGGGCAGGCCTCAGCCTCCCCACCCACCTGTGCTGCCGACAGAGGGGCCTGTGGGAGATGCCAGGTCACCAGCGGGCTAACCCCTGTCTCCTGCCCCCGCAGGCCACGGGGCCCTCAGGCACGACGATGCAGCTGCTGGAGACGGAGTTCTCCCGGACGGTGCCGGAGCTCATCGAGCTGCACCTGCGGCGGCAGGACAGCATCCCCGCCTTCCTCAGCGCCCTCACCCTGGACCTCTTTGGCCGCCAGACCCTGGCCTAGCCACGGCACCCCCTGGCCACACCCTCGGCCTGGAAGGTGGGAGTGGGCTGCGCAGGAGTCCTGCCTGAGGCACTGCCCTCGCCCAGACGGCAGTGGAAGGCACGGGCCCAGCCACGCCCTGAGGGGCCGCACAGGCCGGTGTGCTCCCCCCCGCAGCCCCCTCTCCTGCCAACCCACAGGCAGCATCCCGCCACTTGCTGCTTGAGCCTGCCCTCCTGGAGCCTGGTGGGCGGACCGGTGGGCACCGGTGGAGCCTCTGGCTCCTGTGAAATAAAAAAGTTCCTCCTTGGCCACCACCTGTTCACTGTGTGTGTGTCTGGTCCCCTGAGCTGACAGGCTCCCTCCGCTGAACTTGGCCTGGCCCCAGGAGACAGTCCTCACTGGGGCCCCTGATCTGGGCAAGGCGAGGGAGTGTGGGCAGCCCCGCATCTGCCCACGGAGCCTATGCTCCCGCTCTGGGACATGTCCCCCCCCCCCCCCCAGCTCTCCACCTGCCACTTGGACCCATGACCCTCACCCTGTGGCTTTGGGCACTGGCAGCAAGAGTTGGCTGGCCTTTCACAGTGCAGGGGGGCGGTCTCCCAGAACACACATACCCATGGAGACGTTGTCCACCCCACAACCCTGGCCTGTGCCTCGTTCAGTGCCCTCAGGACCACGGTCTTCCCGCTGCAACACCAGAGCCTTGTCACAGGCAGCCAGGGGACACCAGTGGGCCTCACTCTGACCTCAGGGGTCCGCTGCTCCAAGGGCGGGGCCGAATCAGCAGAGGCAGGCGTCTCTGCTCCGTGCGGTGTTCTGGAGGTGTGGTGTTCTGGAGGTGTGCGGGTGGGCAGGGCGTCTGGGACTCCAGGCCCGCAGACCGCACCCTGTGCCTGGTCTGAGCCCCGGACCTGTGCGGGAGGTGCCTGCTGAGTGTGGGCCAGCACCCAAGGCCCAGAGGCAGGGGTCGGGCTGCAGCCCTTCTGGGCCCACAGGGCAGCAGAGGCCAGCTGTTGGGAGAAGGCACGTCCAGGGGGCTCAGCTCTACCCTCCAGCTGGCTGGGGGCAGGGGTGTCCTGGCATGTGGGTGGGACAGCTCTTGACTCTGCCCACGCGGCAAAGAGGGAGCCACCACCACGGGGCCTTGGGGCCCGCAGGCTATGGCCTCTGCTTCCCAGAGGCCTGCCCCAGAGGGCTCTGGCTCTGGCAGAGCCCCACTTCTGCCAGCTCATTAGCGGGCGCCACGCTAAATGGCTCTTAAGCTCTTGTGACTGAGTGTGAGGGATTAGTGCCGCAGCACTGAGTGTGGTTGCCAGGAGGGAGCAGGGTTCGGAGTGTGTGTGGCGGGCCCCCACCCCGCCCCTGGCCCCACACCCCTCAGTGTCAGGTTACCGGCAGGGAGGGCTCAGTTCTGCTGTCTCCCTCTGCACCTGTGCAGCCCCAGTTCTGAACATCAGTAAGCCAGGGTCTCCTCCAGCCCCTCATGGCTCCGAGTGCGGGCCATAGACCAGGGCCTGGTGAGAAACTCGGCCTCTCAAGCCCCCTCCCTGCCCACTGATCCAGACAGCACATGACGTGACCCCTGGGGGCTTGTGTCCCCATCCCATAATGGCCCTCGAGTTGTGGCCCCCATTGGGGGAGGCCAGGGCCCTGCCCCAGGCCACATGCAGGTCTGTGTCAGGCCTGGGCCCAAAGCCAGCCTCCTGAGCCAACTCGTGGCCCCGCCCCACCCAGCTTTTGGGTCAGACTTGGGCCCCAGTCCATTGTGCTTCCTTGGTGCCAGCACACCGGGGCCAGCGAGGGCTGGTCCTCTGTCCCCAGTGGCCTGGCAGGGGTGACTCAGAGGTCAGAGGCGTGGGACCCACGGCCATACGGATGGGAGTGTGGGCGTGTGTGGGGACGCAGGGCTGTGCCTTCGAGTCTGTGTGTGCACACGCCTATCACACACATGCACATGTACAGTGAGGGCAGGCGACCTCGCCACCTGCTTTTGTCCCCGCTTCCCGCCCAGAGAGGGGCAGGACCTGGCCCAGAGTCTGCGGGGCCCCCAGCTGAGCCACGCGGCTGCCCGCTTTACCTTCCCATTCTTCTCTGTAGCCGTCTGCACGGTTTATCGCGCTTTCAGTGTGAAATGGAAAGCCATCCCCCGTAGGAACGCAGACGCATGTGGACAAGCGCCCCACCCACCCTGGTGCCTCCGGCCCCTCCGGGTTGCGTGTGGCTCTGGAGTGGCCGTGACCTCTTGGAGGTTTCCGCGAGAGCTTCTCTGGGTGTATTGCATTGGGGTTTCTGTTGCTGCTGTTTCAAAATCGCTCGGGAAGCTTCACTGAAAACAGTGACTGAAGCACCAGATTCCCATTTCAAAGTCACACTGGCGGCGTCCTCGAACTCCCACCGTTCTGAACCACTGGGGTCACTCCTTTAAAAAACAAAGACTGAAACAAAGCCGTCCCAGATTCAATCTGAGCATCGTCTCATCGGTGACTCTCCTCCCGCTGTTCCCACGGGAGCTCCCTCCCCCCATCTCGCCTGTCCCGTCCACTGTGAGCTGAGCGGCGTCCCCAAACCCTCACACTGAGGCCCTGTCCCCCAGCATGTGACTGTTTGGAGACAGGCTCTTCAAAGAGGTGACTAAGTTAAAAATGAGCTCATACAGGTGGGCCCTGATCCAGCAGGACCAGTGTCCTCACAAGGAGACTCGGTCACAGACAGAGGGACGGCCCCGTGAGGACCCAGGACGGAGTTGGCATCCACAGGCCCGAGGAGAGAGGATCCAGCCACGTGCCCCGGGGTCTCAGCCAGCCGGCCTCCGGGACGTGAGATGCGTCTTTTTAAGATGCCAGTCTGTGTCCCTGTGGCAGTGGCCCAGGTGGCTGGCACCCTCCGCAACATGTACCCTGCCCACGGCGGCTCCCAGCGAGCAGAGCGGGGCACACACAACCATCCCCCAGACACATGGGGACCATGGCTGTCCCTCAAGATTTCTGAGTAGCCACACTACTAAGAAACAGGTAAAATCAATCCTAATGTGTTTTCTTTAACCCAGTGTGTCTGAAACTCGGTTTCCACGTGGGATCAGTAAACCCTCCTTGGCGCTGAGCCTCCCAAGTCCAGGGTCACGTTCAGGACCTTGTCACCCGAGCTCACACGGCGGCAGAGCCAGGAGTCGGGGAGCGACGGCCCTCGGACAGAGGTCCTGAGGGCCTCGGGGGAGCAGCCCATTCAGACACCAGGGCTCCTGCAGAGCAGGCGCTGCCTGGACCACAGCTGCCCTGTGTGCTGGGGCCTCGGTGTGCACATCTGGGAAATGGGCGGACCAAGGGGGGGGGGCCTCAGCGCGGGGCGCGGTGGGCAGCCAGCCCCGTGCAGCCGCCTCTTCAGTGTCACCAGGTAATTAGCTCAATTACCAACACCCGCCCCTTGTTTCGCCTCTTTTTTTTTCTAAACTTAAAATGGAAATTAAATTTTGCGCCAGGTTTACAGGCTGTTAACGGAATTCACTAATCAAACCCCAATGCCAAGTCCTTGAAAACGAGAATTTAAAAAGGTCTGCATTTGCATATTCATGTTTTTAATAGGGTTCAGAAGGTATATTTGCAGCTGATGAAAGGGATTAATTACATCTGATTTGCATTGGTGGCGCATCTTAACCCCTTCTGAGCCAGACCGAGTCTGGGGCTGGGGGACAAACACAGCCCTGGGCTGGTGGCCAGGGGCACCCGGCTCCCGCCCCTTCCTAGGGGCCCTGCGTCCCCCAAATCCCCGGGGCCTCAGGGCCCCGCAGTGGCTCCCGAGGTGTTTTCACCTGCCAACAGACGTGGGGGATTTCTTTCTCTTACGTAACATCCATGCTCAGGCGTTGCACTGTATTTGGGAAGAGTCGGGAAGTAAGAAGAAAATGAGACACTCGTCAGCCCGTCACCTGCAAACAGTGCACTTGGGTGCTCGTCTTCAGGACCTCTCCCTGTGCGCACGTGTGTGGCACGTGTGTGTATGGCATGTGCACGTGTGTGTGGCCCAGGCCTGTGGGGGGAACCCCACACCACCGAGTCCTCACCGGGCCCACTGCTCCCAGGCCTGTTGGGTCGGGCCGGCACCTGCCCGCCTGTTTCTCGGTATTTAGGTTTTGTTTTCACTGAAGATCCCACCGGGCGCCTATCTGTGTCACCGTGTGCCCGGCGGCGTGGCCCAGCAACGGGAGTGCCCACTGGGTGCCTGACCCCTCCGAACTCTTTGTCCGGACGTTGGTCCCTTCGTTGTGATGACTTCTCTACAGTCGCCTGAGGGGCTGCCTCGAGTTTCCCGGCCATGTCGCCTCTCCCCTGGGAGACCCCAGGGTCAGAGGGCCAGGACACGTGGAGGCCGCTGGCCTGCAGCCAAGTGACTCTCTGTCAGCTCACAGCGCCCTCTGGACGGTGGATGGGGGTGGGGAGCTACAGCCGGGAAGGCTGCCCCTGCCTTGCGCAGAGCGCCTGGGGCAAGGTGTTCGTGTTGGCACGTTGGCCCATACCTAGAACCCTCTCCGGGCTGGAAGGGAAGCGGCCCGATGTCTCTACAGCCAGCACATGGTTGGGGGTCAGGGGGTTGGAGTCAGCGGACAGGACAGAGAGGAGGTGCCAACAAGACCAGCTGACCGCCCCACAGGTGCCCGTTCTGGCCCTAGGCTCAGCCATTGGAGGAGCAATGGCCCCAAACGGCTGGACTGAGAGGCCACTGGCCCTGCTGAGCGGGGAGGTCGGCGGGCGGTCGGAAGGCAGCTGGGAGGTGAGAACGGGGAGCGGCGCCCGGTCAGTTGTCGGTTGCTGTGACTGACCCCAGGAGTCCACACATGAGCCCAGTCCACTGTTCCCAAAAGACGCATCTGCTGTGGGTAGGTCATTCAGATGGGGTGAGGGGTGAGGGGTGAGGGGCCCGGGTCACGGAGAACCCGTGCTGACCCCAGAGCGAACCAGCGCTGGCTCAGGGTGAGCAGCTCAGACCCTGTCCTCGTGGCCGCTGCTCCTGGCAGACACGGCCCCACGTCCTAACTCCAACCACGATGGTGTCCCCACCACATCCCTGCGGCCCCCAGAGTCCCCATAGCCCCCACTTCCATTCTGTCCTGCCATAACTGAGCTGCTGGCTGTCCCAGCAAAACACCTCCGACTGGGTGGCTCAGACGGACACTGATCTGTGGCTCAGGAAGCCAGACTGCCGCAGCCCAGGTGCCCCCAGTTTGGTTTCTCCTGAGCACTTCCTGGCTGGCTGTGTCCCCACGGCTGAGGGGGCTCTGCTGTGTTTTTGTCCTCTCTTGGGGGTCACCCGATGACCT